CATGGATTAAGTCCAAAAAGGAGAGAGTCTGAAAGCAATGTGCTAGATACGGCGCTAAATGCTTCCAGTGCAGAGGTGACAAACACACTGATCCAAGTTGCTAAACCAGATTGTCTTTGGGTGAGTATATTATTCACACCACAGGGCTAGAAATTACCTATAGCTAAAAAGGATCCAGATTTAGCTGAGACACCACAAACCCGCCTCTGTCCTGAGTAAGGTGATCAGACAGCAAATGTGAAAAATCGGGACAGGGTGGGGGGGTCATAGGAGCCTTTATAAGAAAAATACCAAAAAATTGGAACTGTCCCTATAAAATAGGGACATCTGGTCACCCTAGTCCTGAGTCGTCACTATTCTTAAAATACCACCTGGATATACCCAGCTGAGATTGGGGCCCGTTGTGCCAGGGATTGTACAACCCCATAGTGCGAGCCATCCCTGTCCCAAAGTGCTGACAATCTAAATAGACAAGGCAGACCAAAGGGAGGGTTGTAATTAGCGTTGGTCAGAAAAAATTTAGCAAAAGGTTTTTGCAGGAAATGTTCTGCAGGAAAGTGTCATTTTTGACAAATGTCTTGACTCTAAAACATTTTAAGAAAAAAGATTTGAAGATGAAAAATTGGAGATAACAAATTTCAGTTTTTCAGTGTAAAATGACTTTTTGTTTAGAAATTTGAGCTAAGTATAGTAAAAAATGTTTGGAAAATACAATATAGTTGAAAGATAAACAAAATGTTTCAACTGACCAAACAAAAGTGGCGCATACGCTTGTGCTGGGCCCACTACACAGGGTGAATTTTCTTCTGTCCTGGTTCTCCCAGGAGCAGACACCAGGTGTCCGGTGCTATCAGAGGCACCTTTATAAGATTGACTGGAGAGTAACTTGCCTCTGCTCCTTAGTCTGCTGGGATCATTCAGACCTGAAGCGCCTACTTACACAGCAAGACAGAATTGACCGAGATGCCGGAAATGGCCAGGCCGGTGAGGAAGCGGAAGACGCAGTACGTGGTGAAGTTGGGGGAGAAAGCAGCACAGATGCCTGTTACCGCCATTTGCAGGTAGCACCAGATCAGGAGGGCTTTCCGGCCAAACCTGCAGCACAGAGAACAGAGTTAATAGGGGGGTGGGGAGATCAGGAAGCTGGTCCAGGGCAGGGAAGTTGGAGGCTGATATGATTGCACCATATTGCACCCATTACTCCTACTTTGGTGATCTCAGCTGCCTCTAAGCACTGTTTGCAATGGAGAGTGCTTGAACCAAAATTCAGGGTTAGGAATTAATTTGAACGCATGACGTTATCCCAGTACACTTCTGCAGATGCCCCTCAAGCCCGAACTGCAGCCCTCCTGATGTTCCAGCCCTGGCCTCCCCTCCCCCAGCTCTGTGATGCCTCTCAACCTTAACCCTGTTCCCTCTGCCAATTCATATCAGTTGTGACCTACAGCATTCCCAGTAATCCCTCCCCAGGGCCACTACACAGTCCTGACCTGCAGGCAGTAGGTACATAACCATTGTGACATGTTTTTGGAGCTGGGGTTGGTGTGGCTCCAGCTCACACTAGCAACATGAAAGCGTGTGGAGCTCGGAGTCGCAACCTCACCATCTCACCTGTCCGCGAGGCGTCCAAACACAGCTGACCCCACCAGCACACCAGCCATGTAGAGCGACTGCGCCATTTGCCGGAGTGTTCTGGACTCACACACCAAATCCCACTGCACGGGGGGAAGAAAACAGAGACCAGTGAGAGCAGGAAGATTTCAGGGCCCACATTGCCTGGAGGTTGGACATGCTGTAGCCTGGTCTGTAGAGAGGATGCTTTGATCCCTAGGTCTTGATATTTTACTCCAGGCAGACACAGAGACGGGAAGAGGTGGCTTTAACCCACACTTGTGCTCCCCCTTTCTGGACCCTACTTAACCCCTGGGGAATGTGTAGAGTGGCCTCAGAGCTGCTCCAACTTTCACTCTTCCTCCTGATGCCCCAGGGAAGCAGAGCTCAGTGCAATCAGGCCACACCCCCTATGCTGCGGAGCTGGGAGTGGAGCATTTTTACTGGCCTTCCCACAGGGCTGGGTTATCAAGGGGCTATTCACACCCCCCACACTGAAAATCTGAGCCCCAAAAATCAGGCTCTGAAGTGGACACCCATGAGAAAAATTGGTGTACAGAGAACCCATAGGGTCAAGTGTGTGTATGGGGGGATGGGGAGAGCTATACTGGTCAGTCAGCAAACCTGTTACCGTACGAACAGTGGGTGTGATTCCCCTTGCCCTGTACTTTGTAGAGTTGCCACCCATCCAGCTTTTCCCAGGGTCATTCCTTTTTTGAGGTAGCTGCCCTGGGAAATCTGTCAGGGTACTCAGTGCACCCTGCCAGTTTTATGGGCTCAGGATCATCTTAGATGTCCCATTTTTTTGTACCTCAGAGGTGTGAGAGGTTAAATCACAGAACTCCCCTGGGGAGCTGCCAACTGATGTGCCAAGACTACTTCTGCCCCTGCTTTCCCTGCCAGCTCGGGACCCCAGCACCCTGTCTTGCTGAGCCAGACACGCCCATCTGCTCCAACACAGACCCAGAGTCTAAATTACTTGCCCCACAGCTGCAAGCTTAGCTGAAAGCAGCTAACAGAAGTGTTCTTGTCTTTAACACTCAGATCCCCAACTCCCAATGGGTTCTAAACCCAAATAAATCCATTTTACCCTGTATAAAGCTTATGCAGGGTAAACGCATAAATTGTTCACCCTCTATAACACTGATAGAGAGAAGCACAGCTGTTTGCCCCTCCCGCCGATATTAATACATACTCTGAGTTAATTAATAAGTAAAAAGTGATTTTATTAAATACAAAAAGTAGGATTTAAGTGGTTCCAAGTAGTAACAGACAGAACAAAGTGAATTACCAAGTAAAATAAAATAAAACATGCAAATCTAAGACTAATACAGTAATACTATTGAGTACAGATAAAATTTCACCCTCAGAGATGTTTTCATAAGTTTCTTTCACAGACTGGATGCCTCCTAGTCTGGGCACAATCCTTTCCCCTGGTACAGCCCTTGTTCCAGCTCAGGTGGTAGCTAGGGGATTCCTCATGATGGCCACCCCCTTTGTTCTGTTCCACCCATTTATATATCTTTTGCATAAGGCGGGAATCCTTTGTCCCTCTCTGGGTTCCCACCCCCTCCTTCTCAATGGAAAGACACCAGGTTAAAGATGGAGTCCAGTTCAGGTGACATGATCACATGTCACTGTAAGACTTCATTACCCACTTGCCAGCACATTCATATACAGGAAGACTTACAGGTAAAACAGAGTCATCTACAGTCAATTGTCCTGGTTAATGGGAGTCATCAAGATTCCAAACCACCATTAATGGCCCACACTTTGCATAATTACAATAGGCCCTTAGAGTTATATTTCATATTTCTAGCTTCAGATACAAGAGTGGTACATTTATATAAATAGGATGATCACACTCAGCAGATTATATGCTTTGTAATAATACCTTACAAGAGACCTTTTGCATGAAGCATATTCCAGTTATATTAGCATATTTTCATAAAATCATATAGAGTGCAACATCACAGGAGGTGGCAACCCTACTACCTTGTGTGGTCAGTTATACTTGTGCCAAGGGGGAAAAACAGTCTGCCAGATCACAACAGTAAGAGATTTGGTGGAGGGACTGTCTCTCACTGTGTGTGTATATGGAGCCTAGTGCAACGTAACAGTCTACAAGCTATTGTGTTGTATTAGCATAGCACATATAGATCCTAAAGGAGATCTGGGGCCCCATTGTGCCAGGTGCTGCCCAGACCCCAACTGAGATCAGGGCCCCAGTGTGCCAGGTGCTGCACAGACCCTGACTGAGATCATGGCCCCAGCATGTCAGGCGCTGCACAGACCCCGACCGAGATCAGGGCCCCAGTGTGCTATACCCACATAGTTAGAGACAGTCCCAAAGAGATTACATTCTAAATAGACAAAGGGCGGGAGAGGAAACAGAGAGGAAGTGATTTGCCCACAGCAGATCAGTAGCAGAGCTGGGAATAAAACCTGGGTCTCCTCCTCCCTCAGTCCAGTACCGTAGGCACTGATCCACACTGTCTCCCTATGACAGCACTGCCTGGGCTATACAGAGTCAGGTTTCTCTCACCTCAGTTATAATGGTGTCAGTGAACAGGCTCTTATCATAGGTCCACCCGTCTACACACGTCTCAATGTTCAGCTCTATGGTGTTGGTGCTTGTGGCATTTGGGTTTAGGAGCTGCCACTGGGTGGTGACAAACCGCTGGCACTTCTCCGGCTTCTGGCTCCTGTCCATGGGAATGGAGACCCGGAGCAGCTCTTCAGCAGGTAGGCTGGCTGTGAGATTGGCATAATGGGTGTAGTTAGCCATGATGTGCACTTTACAGTGATGCTCTGGGATCCCAGCAGTGAAGTTCTGCAGGAGGTTATGGCTGGCCAGCATTAAGAGCGGGATGGCCAGGAATGCCACATGCATGACTTGGAAGTGTCCCATGCCATCAATGCGGTCCAGAATTTCTGGAAAACTCATGGCTCTCGGGTGGCGCTGTGTAGATCAAAAAAAAAAAGACCAATAATGGATGAGAAGAATACACTCT